CCTTTCTCAGAACGGCAATAATAATCAATATTTATTGAGTACTGAGAAGCCTAAATACAAACAAACAATGGCCAGACCATATGAGACAACAGAATACTGACCCACAACCTCGACAGCAACCAGCCTGGGTCGCCCAGTCACAGCTTCTGCAGGAACTGGCTCAAAATGGTTAGAACTTGGTCAGCAACTGTCAGCTTCCCTGGCTCTTGTCCCCATCCCCAGCTGAGGACTCACCAGAGCCAACCAACTATGTGCCCCTAACCAACTAGGCAATCACACAGGATGGTTCACTGCTAGTTATCCTGCCTCCGGCTTCCCTAGGCCAGCAGCCTCCAACTGGGGCTGAAGCTTTCTCTTTTCCCACTATAAAGCTCTCCCTCTTCTCTGCCTGCCTTTGGGTATCTGCCAAGCACAGTGGTGGTGGCTGACTCCCTGGCAATATAGCACACCCTGAATAAATAACCTTTGCTCGTCCTCAGCTGCTGGTCTTGGCTTACGTCCATCGTGTTTACTGTGTGCCTAGCACTGTGCTGATTGATTTATACATATCAGCTATTTATCCTTGTGACTCCATGAGGAGGTATTTTGGATGTTATTTCCATCTCACAGCTGGGGAAGCAGATGGTGCCCAGAGAAGTTAGATAATTTCCTTAGAGTCACACAGCTAATAAGTGATGAGGACAGTCTGATATGTGTGCAGTGCCTGGCCCATGACATGGGCCTTCAGCTTGCTCGGCGCCACTTGGTCCCTCCCCATTTACTTGTCCTCCTCTCAGCCGTTGCCCTCCTCACTCACTGTGAGTCCTTGAAGGGTCTTGCCGATGAGATTCAATGAGATTGAAAAATGACAATGGAACATTCTTGGGGTGAAAGGGTTATACCCAACTTTCTTCCCATGGTGGCAGGTCAATCACTGGAATCCCGTCCACTCAGAGCGAGTCTGCATGTGGCCAGCCAGTTTCTGTCTCCGGGTCTCCTTGGCCCTGTAGCTGTCTCAGTCTCTGTCCTCAGCACTGCCCTCACTCTAGTCTTGTCTCTGCTCTCCTGCAGCTGTGCAGCTGTGCGGCCATGCCACCATGTTGCCCAGAGCACTGAGGTGAGCTCTTTATGTAGAGTCAATAGCAACGTATTGCCCACAAGTGTGTTGCAAGCCAGCCAATCAGGGCCAGGTGAGAATTCTGGCCACAGAAACCTTCACTTTATCCACAAGTGGGGAGGATAGATTCATATCTTTTTTTTCTTTTAAAAAAGCTCTCCTGTGATATACTTCAGACAGAGAAAGACAAACACCATCTGATCTTGCTTATATGTGGTATCTAAAACAAAAACCCAAACTCAAAGAGAACAAATTGGTTGCAGGAGGTGGGGTATTAGGGGAATGGATGGAGTCAAAAGGTACAAACTTTCAGTTATAAAATAAATAAGTCATGGGATAAATATGGTAACTTTAGTTAATAATACTATATTGTAATTTTATATTTGCTGAAAGGGATCTTAAAAGTTCTCATCACAAGAAAACATATCTTCTAGGAATTTACCCTAAGAATGCAGCAGCCCAGTTTGAAAAAGACTATGTTTATTGCAGCACTATTTACAATAGCCAAGAAATGGAAGCAACCTAAGTGTCCATCAGTAGATGTATGGATAAAGAAGATGTGGTACATATACACAATGGAATATTATTCAGCCATAAGAAGAAAATAAATCCTACCATTTGCAACAACATGGATGGAGCTAGAGGGTATTATGCTCAGTGAAATAAGCTAAGCGGAGAAAGACAAGTACCAAATGATTTCACTCATATGTGCAGTATAAAAACAAAGAAAAACTGAAGGAACAAAACAGCAGCAGAATCACAGAACCCAAGAATGGACTAACAGTTACCAAAGGGAAATGGACTGGGGAGGATGGGAGGGCAGGGAGGGATAAGGGTGGGGAAAAAGAAAGGGGGCATTATGATTAGCATGTATAATGTTGTGGGAGGCATGGGGAGGGCTTTGCAACACAGAGAAGATAAGTAGTGATTCTACAGTATCTTACTATGCTGATGGACAGTGACTATAATGGGGTGTGTGTGGGGAACTTGGTGAAGGGTGGAGCCTAGTAAACATAATGTTCTTCATGTAATTGTAGATTAATGATAACAAAACAAACAAACAAACAAATAAACAAAAAAGAAAACATCTGTAAGTGTATGGTGATGAATGGTTGCTAGACTTATACTGGCAATCATTTCTTAATATACACAAATATGGGATCATTATGTTGTACACCTGAAACTACTATTCTGAAAATGTCAATTACATCTCAATTAAAAAAATCAAATAAAAACTCCATTATCTGTAGCAATGCTCAGGTTTGTATGGGAGTGCAGATTCCATCTCTCTACTTCTGGCAAGAGTAAGTAGATTAGAGAAACCTCTGTAGGGAGATGACTCCCTGGTTTTCCTTGATGAACCTCAAAGTATTTTTAACTTCTGTGGTAGACAGAAGGATCTACAAAGCAGATTGAGAGTGAGTGGAGAGAGATTTTTGCAAGTAAAGGTGACACAGTCAAGTTAGAGCTACAAGTCATGTGAACCATGGTTGATGAGTGAAAAATGTGTTTGGAATCAAAATCCTTGGTGACCTAGGGAGAGAAATACATCAATCCTCTTTTAGTTTGCTCAACAAACACACAAAGCAATAAAAGTGCTTGTAGTGATACTGAGTTTTATGTTTGGGAGAAGATTTTTGGAGATAGTCAAGATAGATTTCTTATTTTAAAATCAAAAGTTGATTTGCTTTTTGGCACCAGGTGGAATAGAACTCAGCTCTCCTGAGGGGCACACCACACAGCCACTCATGTGTCATTTTGTCAGTTTTTCTAGCTGGATTGGGGCAAATGGTATGTAGACAGGTGGCAGTTGACGACTGAGGGAGGTTGCCCACCCCTCTGGGAACCTCTGAGTACAGGGCAATTGATGAGTGTGTAAACAGATCCTTTAATCTTTGGGCATGTACTTGAGGTGGCTAGGTGTGCTCCTTCTGGGCTTGAGAACTTACTCATCAGGAAGAATCTATTTAATTTAGTTCCTTCATATCAGTTTGACCTTCATTCATACCAGCTGTTGGCCTTATTCCAGTGTTTTCTTTCTTCTATCAAGATACATAAGCAACCAGAGAGCTCCACAACTTTGTGTGCCTTGGCACCACTAGTTGCATAAGCAGCTGGTGTATAATAAATATTTAGCTGATTATGTTTCTGCATACATAATATATGCCAGGCAGGTTCTTAAATTTTTGGTATTACTGACCACACTGAGAATCTAATGGAAGTTGTGGGACTTTTACCCAGAAAAATACCCATATGACTTACATGCACAATTTTATTTTTCTGATTGTGGAGGGGTCTTTATGGACTTCTGAAGTCTCTTCTGGGCACCTCTGGGGAGAGGAGCTGGTCAGGGTCATGGGACAGTGTTTTTGAGCAGAATTGAGGATCCAGCTCAAGTTGAACACCACCAATCAGTAGTGTCCCCAAGCTTTGAAGTGATGTGGTTTTCCCTAAGAACACTCTTGAAAGAAAATGGTGAGATTGATTCAGAGATGGGGATTGCCAGGCTGGGACAGTGGGAGAACATGTATAGGAGTGTGTGGGAATTGTGGCTGCTACTGGGAATGTGTTTGAAATAAATGAGTAACCAGGAAGGGCAGAGCAGGAACTCAAGACGGATGAGAGGATTTAGATACTTGGGAAGGAGACAGGAGTTGCAGGTGGCTGGAAAATATTTGGCTGGAGCTGAGGGTGGAAAAGGTGAAAAGCCAGGGAACCACAGTTGCTAGAGAGAGGTGGGATCTGGTGATCTTCTTTCTGATGACTGGGTTCAGGGAGTGATAATAACAGTGGATCCAGGTATCAGGCGTTGTTTATGAATGTAGAAGCTGTTCTGGATGCATGTAGAAGGTGAGAGGAAGCCTGTAAGAGGTATAAGATCATTGGCTAATTTGGGCAAGGGATCTCTGTGGCTTTAAAGGGACAAGAGAAATCTCTCTGAAGTTGAATATTTCCTGGAACATCCCCATTACTCTGAGGCTGTTCCCTCTGCTTTGCTTCCTGTCTCTTCCTCCCCAAAATGCACAAGCTTGGTAGTCAGACCCACCTGGCTTTTAAGCTCCTTAATACTTGGGGACCCTAGCCCAATGCCTCAGCCTCCCTCACTTCAATCCTGCAGCTGAGTGAATGTCCAAAAATTATTTCTGCAGGAGTTCCCTAGATTGTGCTAGCTTCCATTTGTAGTGTGATTATAGTAATACCCAACTCCACTGAGTATTCAGTGAGAGAATATGGTGACTGTCATCTCATAACTAACTGCTCAGGAACTCAGGTTTCTCCCCACTCAGTACAAAGCAAAAACCATAAAGATCCTATTGAACCCAAGCACAGAGTTCCAAGGGAAGAAATAGAAAGACTATTAATGTTTTCATGATCTTTTCTATGTTAAAAATCAGTATTTTAAAATAATAAGTAGGCAACAAAACACACAAAAATCTCCAACAGTAAAAAGAGAAAAACTTTAATGAGATTGCAATGAAGAGGTGGAGATCACCAGATTCATTGGGCTCTACTGCCTAATTATTATTAATTGGCATCTTGATTTCATTTTTTTAGGCCCAAGGACTTAAATGGATCAGTGAAGGGCTTTGAATTCTAGCAATTCAAGCTCCTGGCTTTGGAAAGAGAAAGAGATAGTGGAAATCCAGTAGCCAAAATGTGCTTCTTATGATAAAATGCATATAGAGATGTGGATGAACACAGAAACAGTGACTTGGACGTTTAGAATTTTCACGTAGGAGAACACCCAGCCCACTAACGCCCTGCCCGGCTTCCAAAGTAACAGAATCCGGGTCTCCAGGCCAGATTTTCCCTCTAGCCATTCCCGGCCACGCAGAGCGGAGCTACGAGCACACCGAAAGGGATGTCTTCATCGCCTAGCGGGATGGAACAAACCCGCCCGCTCGGGGAGTGCTGAGAACCAAAGGGTCCCTCCAACGCCGGCAGCAGGCAGCATGACTTGATCGCCCCCATCCCGCGACGTCCCTACTCTCCAGGCGCCCCCACCCTTTCCGGGTGCGCGCGCACCAGCCGGCGAGCTGGGGAGCTGTGCGCCGGGCGGGCTGCGGGCGGCGGCGGCGGCTGACAGGCTCACGGGGAGCGGGGTGGCCAGGGGTGGTGGAGGAGGAGCTGGCGCTGCAGCCGGTCCCCTGGGGCCGCGCCCCGCCCTCCGCCGCCACCTGCGCGTCTGCTCCAGGCTCTCCAGCCCCCGGGCGGTGTGGAATCTTGGTGCCGCAGCGACGGGATCGCTGCGTCCGCCAGTTACGAGACTCGGCGTTTGGCTCTTCGGGTCGCGGGACGAGCGGCGCTGCTTGTTCTGGGGAGCGGAGGGTGCGCCGGCGCGCGTCCCTCTCCGCCGCGCTCCCCGCGACGTTTTAGGAGGGGTCAGCGAACTGCTGTGACTTTTGAGGTCCGATTCCTCCTTCCGACCAGCCTCCCGACGCGCCAGCTCGGAAAGAAGCCAGTGTGACCCACAGGCCCCGAAAGCCCACTGCGTGGGGTTAGGACTTGGAACGTGTCCGGGAGCCCGCGGCGCTGTGCGCGCTGGTGAGTTTGGCGGCAGGGTCGGGTGTTCCCCGGCACAAGGGACGGAGAGGACGTCGCGCTCCGCCCGGTCTCCCGTCCCCAGTGTTGCCCCCACTTTGAGAGTGATTGAGACTTGAGCGTGACTGCGGAGCCCTGAGGATGCGGGCACCGGGCGCCGGCTTTCCCTCTGTCCGGCGAGATGGAGTGGGTTGGTGAGCGGAACAAAGACGCCGGCCCGGAGGAGCGGGTCCTCGGCTGAAGGCCACGGGCCGCATGCCGCGACGGCCGCCTGCGGACTAGGGTGGCGGCTGTGCAGCCCGAAGCGCGGCGCACTCTCCAGCGGGCGGGCGGCGAAGCCCGAGCCGGCCACCTGCGCTCCGCTCCCGTCGCTGCGCCGGGGCAGCCCTGCCTGCCCGCCCGCCGGCTCCGGACGTCCGTCGAGCCCTCAGGCCGGCTCCCGGGGGCTCGAGGGCCACCAGCGAACCACTTGCCGGTGCAGGGGAGAGACTCCTGACCCCTGGCCCTTCACCGAGAAGCCGAGGCGCCGGGACGGGACCGCGCGCCGTGGACTGAGCAGGCACCTTGGGGACCACTTCTGCAGACCAGAGGCTTCCTTGTGAGCGGCTTCGCTCTCCCCCTGCCCGCCCCGTCCTTCCAATCGTCTCCGTTGCCCGAGCATCCGCGGTGTGGGGCCGGGAGCAGTGGGCTCCTCGCCGTCCGTCCGGAGTGTGAGGCTAGCACGGCCCCCGGCTGCCCCGCGCCTCGCCGGAGCCCGAGGGGGCGCGGGTCCGGGGCGAGGGCCGGCGGGCGTGTTTGATGGCTTCACTGAGAAGAGTCAAAGTGCTGCTGGTGTTGAACTTGATCGCTGTGGCCGGCTTCGTGCTCTTCCTGGCCAAGTGCCGGCCCATCGCGGTGCGCAGCGGGGACGCCTTCCACGAGATTAGGCCGCGCGCAGAGGCGGCCAACCTCAGCGCGCACAGTTCCAGCCCCATCCAGGATGCGGTCCTGAAGCGTCTCTCGCTGTTGGAGGACATCGTCTACCGGCAGCTGAATGGTAAGGACGCGCGCCGGCTCCCAGGGGCACCGGGTACATTCTGGGGGCCCTGCGCGCAGTGCGGGGGAGCCGTCACCTACTGGCTCCCGTGCGCGGCTCTTACCCAACCTGCCTTATCTTGGCCAGGAAGCCGGGGCTACAGGGAAGATGATCTGTTTCTTTTATATGCCCCAGCTGTAAGTTTGCTTTTGTTGTGTTAACGTGTCAGTACATCTGGTTCCGGGTACCTGCGTGCAGGAGACATTACCTGGTGACTCCAGCCCAAGTGCAGAAACTAGTCGCTAGGCCAAATGGGGCTGGAGGCACCGGTCGACTTACAGGGAGGAAATAGTTCTTACAGCTTACTGTCTGGTGGGGTCGAATAGGGAGGGACGTTGGCGGGCTTAAAGGTCTGCAAACTCAAGGCCTCAGGTCTGGCGCTAATGTGCTTGGGTAGTTAGTTGGATGGCTAGGTTGTCTCTCCATGAACCAGGCTGCACGTCTTATAATGAAGTCTCCTTCCTTCCCACCTTCTTGGTGGAGGCTGTTAAAAACCTATTTGGTTTCTTCCTGAGAGCTGCCTAAGGGCGACTGTTAAAAGTTTGTGGTAGATTGAGGAAGCAGCTTTTTACAAAGTGTTGTAAAATGAGGTGTGCCATTTAATTAATGATAGTTGTCAGACTCTGGCCCACCTAAAATGTTCTCCCCAGTGCTTCAGGTAAAGAGGGAGACTTTTAAGGTGCCCTGGGCATGCCTGTCTGGTACAGAGACTGATGGATCATTGCATATTTGCTGCCCCCCCAAAGGCAGACTTTATAATACCTAGTTGAATAGAGGGAGCTCTCCAGGGTCCATATGGCTGGTATCCAAGCCAGATGCAAGGTTGTCACCTCCCTTCCTGAGTTTATAACTCATGTTCTCATGGTAATCAAGAGCTACAGATAATTGTAAAGATAATGGTAATGATAAGTGGTGGAATTTTTGCTGCTTGCCAGTCCCTGCAAAGACATTATCTCCTTGAATGCTCACATCAGTCCAGTCCACAGCATCCCCATATCAGAAATGAGAAAACGGGGCTTGGAGAGGTTAACTAAGTTGCCTGGTGTCCTGCTGCTAGTAAGTGGTAGAGACTGGAGTCAGAATCCCATGTCTGGTTGACACAAAGTCTGTGTTCTTGGCAACTTTCATCTACTATCTCTTCCTAATTGTAAGGAGTATTAAGTTTGATGACAAAAAGATCCTAAACTAGGAAGACCCGGTGCAGCTGTCCACTGTGCAGTTAGAAAGGCCAGCCTTTGGCAGGGAGAAGGATGAAACCAGCCAGACTGTTCTCTTACTGTTCTTCAATGATCCCTTGCAGGTGAGAAGTGGTCTGATCTCTGAGCACCTTCTGAAAGGACCCCATGGTCTTCTTGATGTCATTCAACAAGTATCTAGGGGATGCCTTGAACTTGTGTCTGTAGTGGGAAGTTGTAATCCCATTGACCCCTTGCAGACAGCATGACCTGGCTGATGCTGTAGCCTTAGGTGGTCTTCTAAGGGTCAAGAAACCAAGGTACAGAATGAAACAAAATCCTGTAGTTTGCTTCTGGAGGAATTAGAAGCTTATGAGGTGGGTCTTATTATTCTACAGTTACCTGCCACACATGTACACATAGGATCCAAAAGGGTGTGCAGGATAGCCTGGGTTCCCTCACTGGCAGGCTGCTCTCAGGGACACAAGTTGTTGTACTATTGGTTTCAAGTAGGAAATGAAATATGATACAGCCACATATCCTCCAGTGCCCCAAATAGGAATAATAAAATTCTGAATGGTATTTACTAAATGTGCTCATTTAGTCTTCACAGCAACCCTAGGAGATGGCTGCTCATACTAGCTAGGGGACTTAAACTAGGACAGTTTGCTCCAGAATTGAGGTTCTCAGTGCTGCGTCAGCCCGTCTCAGTCTTTGGCATGCATCAGAGTCACTTGGGGGGGTGCTGTTAAGACACAGATTTCTAGGCCCCACCCCTAGAGTCTCTGATTCAGTAGATACAGGGTTGGGACCCAAGACTTGCACCTCTGACAAGCTGTGGCCTGGGCCATGGCTCTCTGCCCTCTATTCTTCTGCCTCCACTAAGCAGGACAAAGAGGAAAAGCCATTCACCAGCCAATGCCAGCTATTTGGGGGAGGATGGAGACTTCTTGGAAACCAAGAGCTTCCGATGGGCTGGGGGTCTAGCTTTCTCTCTTGTGTGCTCCTCTGCCATGTAAGTGATTCCCGGTGGCTGGGGGTGTCCCACACGAGGGACTGGTTTTGTTGGGTGCTATAGGGTGGGAAGACTGAGTTTTCTTGACTTGTAGCCTCTAAGGAGGAGTTGGCAGGAAGGCTGGTTTGAGAGCTTTCCTTGGGCAAGGTATGAATTCAAGCTGCCGCTAGGTAGATGTTTTCTTCCTGGCTGCTCAATGTAATTTGTAGTGACATGGAGCCTAGAGCAAGAGGGCAAGGAAAAGTCATGAAATGTGCCCTTCCCCTCTCCTCTGCACCCCCCAGCACTCTGTCCTTGCCTGCGCTTGCTGCTGGGAATGTGTGTCCCACCTGTTGATGACTTAGGCCTCCTGAACCATCTGCTGCAGCAAGGGACTGTGGAGGGAGGAGAGGTCTCCCAGTTCCTGGGGTCCGGGACCGGGACTGCCATTTCCACTTGTGCTGTAGACTGTCTCCATTTCTTGTTGCTGAAGGAGGAGCAGGAAACCTTGACCTCAGTGTTCTTCATTCCTCAGGAATTAATGGAAGGCCTGGGGGAGCCAGACAATGGGAAGACAGTGGAGACACAGCCACTTGGGTCCAGACCTCTGCCCTTCTGAAGGTCACTCAGATTTCTCAAACTTTTCCTGTGGATTTTTAGGAAGTTCACAGAGGGCTCCCCCTGCCCAGGGCTGTGAGCACAACCCTGCCTTGCACTGTCTCATGGAACAGGTTTTCTTGGGTGTCCTGAGAGTGGTCCTGAACCAGGGTGATACAGACTTCCTCAGAACTGGCCTCTTTGTAAAACCCTCAGTGCCGAGGTCCTGAATCCTGTCTTTGGAAAAACAGTTGCAGGTGGTTTTGTGATTGTTCTGTTTTTCTTAATACAGGCTGAAAAGGATACTTTAAATCAAAAGTGGAGATGCGGGTTTAGAGAAGAAAGCACACAGATATGAGTTAGTTTCTCCTATCCAACTTCTCTCGCATCTGCTCTTCTGTTCTTTCCATGAGGCCCTTGCTGCTGACCCTGCTGGTCCTTTGAGCAGGTGCCCTGCCTCTGTTCTCACCTTTTCATTCCCCGAGCACACGCGGCTGCAGCTACCTGACCGCAAAGGGCCCCAGACCTCCCAGTGGCTTTCCAGTACCTAAGGAATCATGGCCCAGCTTGGAGGTTGATGGTTAGCTGCCAGCTCTTCCCAGTGTCTCCCATGTTCCCACCCATCCCAGGTGCCTTCTGCCCACTTGAATCAGACTGATCTACTTGCTGGAATACTCAGCTTTTGCCTCCAGATTACAGCCTCCACATTTTAGCCTGCCTTTGAGAGGTACTGGTTGTCCTGGTTCACTCTCCCTGCCCCCTTTCTACATTCCTCTATCCTGAAAGCTCGGTTACTGCCTGGTGGTGGGTGGCTGTGCCAGGCCACACTGTGGTCTGAGCTTTTCCTGTTCTGAGATGCTTGAAGCTTTCTTGTCAGTGACCCTTTGTACCCATGGCTTAATATTCTTGTGCCTCCATGGGTTTATCTCTCCAGTCCAAAACTGGACTGTAGTCTTTTTAAGAGCTGGAACCCTATTTTGGACTTACTGATGCCATCTCCATACCTTGGCATCTGCCACAGCACCTTGCACATGATGTGGGCACCTAAAGTTTACTGGTTGACTAATTGGATGAATGATAGCCACAGGGAGGCAAATGATAGCCACAGAGGAAATAACCTCAACACTGTGAAGGCTGAATTGGATTGGACTGTGGTGAGAGGAAGTTGTGGGAAAGACTTAGCTGAGGAGACTGGGTCACCTTGAGGCTCCTCCTGAGTGAGGGTGACCAGACCCCTTGGAGGCGCGTGGAGAGGTAAAGCAGTTGGCCAGCACATTTCAGTATGTTCCCTTTGCATGTGTGGTTTTATAACATGAATGCGGTTTGTATTTTTCTTTTTTTGTTTTGAATAAAAGTAATTCACATTTATGGTTGAAACTTGGAAAATGTAGAAAATTCATACAGGAAAATAAAATGCTGAGTTAAAATATTAAAACAAATATGGTGGCATGATGATTTTTGTACCAGCATGAGGAATATGGACCATGGGAAAGACAGATTTCTTATTGGAATTCCCCTGTAACTCTGTTCCTGACTTTTGGCTTTCTCTCACCTTCTGAGGAAGTTATTTCTCTCATTTTAGAGCTGAGAAGCATGAGGAACAGAGATACTGTGTGACTTAGCCAGGACGACACAGCCAGTGAAGGGCAGAGCCAAGATTCCTAAATACCACAGTACTTTTCCCCAGTCCTGCATCCTTCTGAAGAGTCAGGGTGAAGGTGGTGGACGATGTGGGATTTCACTTGCCCCATGTGAGCGCTGAGCCCTGGCTGGTGACCCATCCTAAATGAGAGCACCTGTGCAGTCGGAAGGGTACACGCATGTTGTTGTTCCGTCCTGTCACCGCAGGGCAGCTCTGTCATAAAAGGAAATGTCATCGATTCAGGTTGGGTTCCAAATGTAGATTTCAGAAGGATATTGAATAGAAGCAGTACTGCTTCTGAAGGAACAAAATCTTTTATGGGAATGGCAAGAAGTTGAAAGTCCTGCCCCGAAGCCACACAGGCAGATCAGGCTGGAGTCTGAGCTGCAGAAAACCAACAGGTTCCCAATACCACACGTGCAGCCCCCTACCCTGGGGCATGAGGACAGAGGGACAGAGGTAGAGATTGGCTTTCTTTGGTCTGCAAGGTAGAGTCAGAAAGAGGAGGATGGCAATTTAAAACCATCTCTACGTGGATGCCAGAGCTGGCCCC